TAAACATATATTGTAAAATAATAGATAAGGCAAAATTGTAAAATTGCTTGGTATACCTGTATGGGTGGTACGCCTGGATGGTTTACCTGTATGGGATACCTATATAGCATAAATAGGGTTAGCTTCGCATTAGTTTCTAGTTTTAATCTTTCTCTTTGAAGATGATCACTTGGTGATCGAAACACGTTTCGAGGTGTTAAAAATAACGATTTGGTGTTGGGAAAAAACTCCAGTAATATTCATTACTACACCAAAGGTTCCAAACAGTGCATCATAAGTATTGATCCATTTGTTTTACAATTTCAAAATCAAGTACAATCATCTAATGAGCCCTGTCAATCGATAAATGGGTAAAGATATCACATCTGAATAAAATTTTGTAATTAGACCTCAGCCTTTAGAGAAAATTGTCGGATTGTCTCGGAAAATACTTAAATTAGCTAGGTTCGACTGTTTACCACTGCCAGTATTAAAATCGATCGTCATTTCTCCTTTTTGTTGAATTTTTTCGTCAAAATAAAATATTTTTTTGAACGATTGAAAATAGAAAAAAAACTAGGGCTCATGTGGGATTCGAACCCACGACCTCCACTTCAATGTTTGCAGCGTGGTGCTCTAACCAACTGAGCTAACGAGCCGATATAAAATTACAGGACAATTCGTAGTTTAGTATTGATTAATACAAGGCAATTTTGTTGTTTTCTGGTTTTCTAGTTATCAATAATTGATAAGTTCTCTCAAATAACCTTCTTTACAAGGATGACGAGATGAAGTTTATAAGAAAAAAAAACATAACTGCATGGTCTCTCGTAGACTACTTTCTATTTAGTAGTTATCCAGTAGTGAAGAGAATATATAGGGTGTTCAAAGCATCTTTGCTGTGACATTTGACATTTTTATCTTTCAAATTAGGACATTATCTCACCAAATCTATTGAAATACTATCCGTTTTTTAGAATAAAATTTTGGTAGTCAACAACAAAGAATTATAAAGAAAACAGACGTCAAATCGTTCAAATACATTTTTGATATAACTACATAGAACTCAGGGAACACACTAGTACCTAATTCATGGTACATAGAGATTTGTTCAATCAATATCTCAAACTTTTTGCTGGTAGTGTTAGTGTTAATAATAATGATAATTTAAATTTTTGAAAAATCTAATGAATATGATAACGAATTGAATATTTTTTTCCAAAAAACACATAATGGCTCTGGCATTGTGGCCGCTGTACCTAGGTCATTGACGTATGGGAGTAATAAGATGGGCCTAGAATTTCCAGGTGTTTGATTCCGCAAATCGGTCTGGTGGTCTGATCTCTCTTACTTTGCTCAAGTTGAAAGTTTTTCTTACCCTCCTGTGCTACGACTCATAATTGATAATTGATTGTTGACGACAGACAACTAAAATAATGTAAAGGAAGGTTCAGAAAATCGGCATGTATTCTGAATGTTTCCCAATTTTTGTTGTTTGTCGGTTAATTTTACTCAGTAAGAGAAACGAATTATGTTCTTGAATAAAACATTCAACTTCGAATTTGTCAAAAGATCTTTAAAAACGGTCTGACTTTCATATCAAAATCAAAACATTGAGTTACTGGAGGGTTGAGTTTTCCTTGGAAAGGCATGTATATTTCATATGGCATTAAACTCGCCCAGTACTTTCACTACTTTAAATTGAAAAGGGGTCATTAGTTTCTGGTATAATTTTTGGTTTTCTGCTTTTCCATCTTCAAATGAAGAATGTGGGAAATTCCGAATAAAGAGATAAAGTATCTTCAAAAATGTGTTTCGTTCAGATACAAACCGGACAAAAAGCCCTTTAGAAACAACTACTTGAACATTGAACTTCACGAAAATCACTTTTTCCCTTCAGTTTATACTCCAAACATTCGTTATGGAATTGAAACCGATTCAATACCGTAATATATGATGAGTATTGATATGAAATTCCACTTGCATGGAACACTTGCCTTCAAGTTACTATCTGCATCTTTTTTAACTTTTGAAGACGAAAACGCGCATTTCTTGCATAAGATTGACTAAAGTGTCACCGAAAGGGGCAATTACGTTATTGCTACGTTGACAGTTTGCAAAAATAATAAAACGTTTAATTGATTCAATTTCAGCCATAGGAATTTCGTTTAAACGTACTTATTTCTCCATTCTCAAAAAAATGTGGGAAACTTTTAGGCTAAGGAAGAAAAACATTAAAGTCAAAATAAACTTTTTGCAAAACTGTTGCATAGATCATGCATATAAAAGTTTCTTTAAGAATCAATCTGGAAAAAAAGTACTTTCGATACAATTATTTTCATATGAACATTGAATTACAAAAAAATTATTTTTCCCATTCAGTTTTATCTCAAAACCTTAGTAATGGAAATGAAACAGATATTCTCAAGAGTACTGATAGAAAACAACTCCACTTCACCTGGAAGTCTATCACTGTAATGGTGTACTTTTCGAAAGTTTGGGTCGAGAATGCTTGTCTTCAACTCCTCATCGACACCTTTATGAATTTCAGAAGATGAAAACACGCATTTCTAGGAATGAAATCTTAGTTCATGTCGAAGAAAGAGGCAATTCTGATCTTATCATGATGACAGTTGATGATATTTTTTGTTTGAAGATTTTTCCAACGAGTTGTGAACCTAACAATACTATGAATAGCACAATTCTGAAAGAGCTGAAATAAGGTTAAATGGAAATAGAACTTGCTAATTAGATTGATATCGGTTTTGGTTTTATTGTACTTGTGTTGTGATTGGACATCCGTCCAAATTGCCAATAAATTTTGTATATGTAGGTTTTTGTTTAAAGAATTGTTACTGGATATCGAGGAGATGGAAGAAGATGGTCCGTCGCTTCATTGCCCTCATCAGGATATGGCACAACCCCGGGGAGTTCAAATTTGTCAGTAAGTCTAACGCACAGTTTATTTACACAAAATTTTATAAAATCGTTGTTACTTCATCTGCTGGAGAAGTTTCTGTATTCAGGTATATGTAGACTGAGTGGAGGTCGCTTTCCTATCTTCACATTTTAGATAACTTATTTATTTTTGGAGCTTCTCTAATAACATGAGAAACTGTTTATCACCCGAAGTCGATTGTGCCAAACAGTAGCCTTTCATTTTTCCCTTGTTTCATTGAAAATGATAACATAGAAATTATCGAATTTTGAAAATTAGAATGTAGAAATTCACAACTAGTCTGTACCTATTATTCAAAACATAGTCGACTTTTCCTGGGAAATTAATGGCCAAGCTGACAAATAATAGGGAGTTCCAATTTTTCCTCTATAACCTGGACGTTATGTTCTGTACTGGTTTCAATTTGCATTTCTCAAGATTGTCCAGNGTTTACGACTCCAACTGACCTCCCTGTAAATTTAGTTCAGGAGTGAGTCTACAGAGAAGATGGATGTCGAGTTTACGACTCCAACTGACCTCCCTGTAAATTTAGTTCAGGAACGAGAGCTTCTCAACCCCCCAATTCCTGATCCAATAACTGAACCTCAAAAAAAACCAGAAAACGACTGAGTGAGCTCCTGAAGAGCGGGGTACCTGTAAAAACCGCCTTGCATCAAATTCTTGAGCGGCGTACGCAGAATCTGTCTCAGGTGGGGGAACAAACCCCCCATGAGCAGATTAGCAAAAGTTTGCGCTCAAGTGACGATTCACCAAAACCAGAGGCGAAAAAGCCCTGCATGGCTGAATCTTAGGCATCGTCAGGTGTAGCTGACGTGCAAAAACCCTCATATGGGAAGGTTGTCGTGGGTATCAAGGTGGGAATTTTGCAACTTGACTATCCGACTACCTCATTAACGATGAAACAGCAGAGCATACTTTGTGCCTGCCCCGCTGAGGACCGAATCAGGTCTTCAGAGTTAGGCAGAGCCGTACTCTTACCATCTGACCTGAAAGACCACTCACCATACAAACTAATCGGCTTCGTTAAGAAGCGGGGTTTGTTTGGCCGAGTGTGAATAGGTGTGAGCCACAATAAACCCTTGCGGGTTGCGGTGGAGGGTCGAATAGACCTACTCACTTTGGACCTAACCTAATCTAACCAGTTTTCCATTTTTTTATTATTTTTGAGTAGTGTTCTTGTATCGATTTGAACGAAATATTTCTGTATAACAAATTTCATGCAATATTTAGTTCAAAAAGTGCTTGTTTTTCATAAAAAAAAATAGAAAATTCTCTTTCTTGGGTTTTCCGATTTACTTTGAAAGTCAGATTTGTATTGTCAGGAAGCATATAGTTAGCTAACAGTTTTACTGTTCTATTTCCTGTGTATTATTGTATAAGAATTGCGCAGATTTGCATTCAGTTCAATGGACCGTTGTGTTATTTCTACGAGGGTGGTTTGAAGAGTTTCCAGCCTCAACATAAAGATAGCAGCACTCACAAATAAAAGCTAGTGAATTTCGTTGTTTGACAGTTACTCACAAAAGTTTCAGCCATTTTGGAAACGCAGTTGGTATGTAACAGTCATTTGAGTGGGTTGATGTGAGTGTTTTTATAAAAATCGAGTACCGATCTGTCTTTAAATATTTGTTATTGAAAAATGAGTTAGTTTCTGTGTATGGAGACTCTGCCAAATCATTTACCACAGTGACATTTTGGGCAGCTGAATTTAAACGTGGCCATAAGAGCTTGGGATAAGATGAATGTTCGGGAAGTCCAAAAACTGCAACTACCGACGAAAACATCGTCAAAGGTCACCAAATGGTGCTAGGCGATCGCCGGCCGCCACTGGTAGCCATAAACCAATTGTGACATAGCTAAGAGCGCGCGAATGTACGATGTTCACTGCCGCTCTGGATGCAGCGAGAATAATGATACCAATTTCGATGGAATTCCGGCGAAATTTTCTACCGCATTCGATGACGATATATAAACGCTAACCACGAGCATATCGACACAGTCCAGTGGAAGTTACACTGCGGTATGCGAAGCGATCTAGTAAGGCGATAAACATTCGAATAATAGTTGAAGTGTTTGTTTTATTTAAAGTAAAATAAAGTTAAGTTTGATTATTCTTCAGTGTAGTCAATTATTGGTCAAACCACGGAGAAAAACTTTATACGCCTGAAACAAAAATACAGTCCAAACAATGGACTGCAAAGGGAAAACCGAGGCGGCAACCATGNTTTTTTGGCTGGGAAAGTGATGGCGACTGTTTTTTGGGATATTCATGGACTTATTTCAATTGATTATCTTCAAAAAAGAAAAACCATTACAGGAGCATACTACGCATCATTACTTGACAAGTTGAAGACAGAACTTGCGGAAAAAAAGCAACATTTGCAGGAGACGCCAACTAGGAGACGCTCCCGATTCTTTCGAAAAAACTACAAAAAAAGTCTATCGACCTTCAAGAAACGATAGTAAGCGTCATATAACATTGATATACATCAGTGAACCCACCAGTAATATAGTTTTTTGAAAAGGAAAGATTTAGACGTGGCCTCTATTAGGTTGTTTCAAAAGTTTTGTCCGTATTAATGAGCCTACCTGTAATATTTCTTTGAATACTTATTCAATATAATCGAAATAAGCGTTATTTTAATTAGTGCACTTTTTCCAACGTAACACAAGTCGAATTATTCCGTGAGCATAAACATT